CCCTCAATAAATAAACAAAATAAAGATATGAAAAAGGGGGTGGCTTAACAAGGCTCTAGCAACTCAGCAAGGCCCTCTTTCTAAATAAAATACAAAAAAGGCCGGGGTGTGGCTCAGTGGTTGAGTGTCCCTTGGTTCAATCCCTGGTATGGGAAAAAAAATCATAACCATATATACGTGTAATATTATATACATATAAAACCTTAAGAAAGGACAACTTTCCAAGTGTGACCTGAATCATGTAATTTGATTTCTTTTGGTTAGATACGTGTATGCCAGAAAGCACTAAAATAAATGCTCTGTCAGGAATAAATTTGCAAGCTATGGGACAAAGGGTTATCAGCCCTAGTGTACAAAGAACTTATGAATCAGTAAGAAAGCATCCTGAGGGAGAAGTGGGCGAAGAGAATGGATGGTCAGTTCTCAAAGGCTGTCCACACCGCTGAGCTCAACAACAACGTGCTAAACGTCATCAGTGACCAAAGGAGAGCCAAAACAGGGTCTTGTGTACCTTTCTGAATCCCAAAGATGAAAGATGGGACACAAGCTGCTGGAACTGTGCTCTCGAATCTCAAGGGCACCAGCTCCCCCAGCCCACACCCTACTGGGCCCCAAACCTCCTCTCCAGCACCCGAGCTTCACTTCTCAACACCTGCGCTGCGCCTGTCCTGGGCCCTTGTCCCTTAGCATCTTTTTTATTTTTTTTTTTAATTAGAATTTTGAATGAAAAAAAAACAATACAGCGAGTGTCACATATCTGTCACCTAGCTTCAACTGACTTCAACACTTACCTCCTCACCAGCCTGGTGATTCTGAAGCAAACCCCACATCCTCTCATGGTGCCCATGATCACATCACACAGGTGCCTTCGGAGACCCTTGTCAGCTCTTGGCATTATGAGTGGGCTCACACCGGCATCCGCATGAGCTGTGTCCACTGCAGTTTGCAGACCCCGCCCCCCTCACTGAGGATTGAACCTGGTACTTGGGGGCTTCACCACTGAGCCACATCCCCAGCCCTTTTTTATTTTCTGAGTCAGGGTCTTGCTGGGTTGCTAAAACTATTCTCAAATTTGCGATCCTCCTGCCTCAGTCTCCCCAGCACCTGGGATTACAGGTGTGCGCCCCCCCTCCCCCGCGCGCACTTGGCAGACTTGCCTGTTAAGTCTCATTTACTCTTTAAGATTCTGCCTTGCTGACGTCTTTTTCTGGGTATCTGTCTGTCCGTGAAGCAGTCATCTGTCTTGTAGGTTGTTCTGTGCCCTCCGGGGCCGCTCCAGCCCTGACTGTCCCCGTCTCCTGCAGGCCTGAGCTACCCTGTGTTCAAAGGCATTATGAAGAAGGGCTACAAGGTGCCGACGCCCATCCAGAGGAAGGTAAGGGCTGGGAGGGGACGTGTGGCTTTGCCCTCCTCTCTGGCCATGTGAAGGCCACCCCTTGTCCCAGGTGTCACAAATCTTGCCCCCTGTTCTCTAGCTTACCCATTTCACAGGTGGAGGACGTAGGGCCAGCAGAGTAGAGGCTTGGCCCTGGGTCATGCCCCCTAGGACTGCCAAGCCTGCCATGCCACCCACAGGACCCATCATCACTTGTCCTCAGCTGTTAGCTCCTGGGAGACTTTCCTTGGGTCCTGAGGAGGAGGCCTAGGAGGAGGTGGAACCTAGCTCACCCTGAAGAAGGCTGCCCCTGGTCCCAGGAGGCAGGCGGGTGTCTGCAGGAATGCCATCAGGGCTGCGACAGGCCCTGCCCATCGCTGAGAGCCCCTCCTGGGCCCACTCCCCACTGGGTTGGGCGGGAACTGACCACCCCGCCACTCACCTGTGTCTGCAGACCATCCCAGTGATCCTGGACGGCAAGGACGTGGTGGCCATGGCCCGGACCGGCAGCGGCAAGACGGCCTGCTTCCTGCTCCCCATGTTCGAGCGGCTCAAGGCCCGCAGCGCCCAGACCGGGGCCCGCGCCCTCATCCTCTCGCCCACTCGGGAGCTGGCCCTGCAGACCATGAAGTTCACTAAGGAGGTGCGTTGGGGTGAGGCCTACAGCTGGCGCTGACCTGGGTCCCCAGGGGCGTGAGCGGGGTGGGTCCTCTGGTGTCACCCTCTCAAGCGATTTCTTTCTTTCCTCTCCCTCTCCACAGCTGGGCAAGTTCACCGGCCTCAAGACTGCCCTGATTCTGGGTGGGGACAAGTAAGGACCCCCTCACCCCATGTCCTGGTCCCCCTGCGCCACAGTCACCAGCGTGCCCACATGCCCCTGTGCTCCAGGACGCTGGATTGACCGAGCCCCTGCTGCTCAGTCTAATGGCAGCTTCTCTGCACGTTCAGACCAACTCACGCGCGCAGGCGCACCGGCCGAAGCTCAGGCCGGTCCTGAGGTTCCTGAGCGGGTCTCCTGGCTCCCAGGCCTGGGTGGTGTGGGTGCCGTGCTGAGGGTCGATTCAAAGCAGCATATGAAAAATGAAGGCCTGACGCAGGCGGGTGCAAGGGGTACGCCTGTTGTCCCAGCAGCTGGGGAGGCTGAGGCCAGAGGATCGAGAGTTCAAAGTGAGACCCTGTAATACCAAATAGGGCTGGGGATGTAGCTCAGTGGTTGGGTGTCCCCGAGTTTAATCTCCAGAACCCAAAGGAAAAATGGAGGCCTGGGAGCAGCGGCTCACTGCCAGGTGTGTCATTCCTTGGGTGCTGCCTCCTGTCACAGAGGCCGGCTCGGAGGTGAAGGGCCCAGGGCAGTGAGGAGATTCTGCAGTAGAGCTGGGCTCGGTCCATTCTCCTGCCTCTGTGCAGTGTCTCCTCCAGGCAGCCCGTGTGTTCTGCCCTTGGGAAGCTGCTGCTCTCAAGTCTGAGTTTCCCTTCAGTGAAATTTAATTTGATTTTATTTTGTTTTGGTACCAGAGATTGGACTCGGGGGCTCTTAACCACTGAGCAACATTCCAGCCTTCTTCGTTCTGTGTTTAGAGACAGGGCCTCACTGAGTCGCTCAGGGCCTCTCTGAGTTTCTGAGGCTGGCTTTGAACTCGAGATCCTTCCCTCTCAGCCCCCCCGAGCTGCAGGGATTACAGCGAGTCCACGGCGCCACACAGGGTTTTCTCTCTCCTGTGTGTGACTGAGGGAAGGATCAGCCTTCCTAAGCTGTGCCTGTCCCAGGATCCTGACTCCTTCAGGTGCCCCATGAAAACTGTAGAGGAGGACTGACCTTGAGATTCATGCCCCAGAGGCTTAAGGACGGGCACGGTCGGGCACCTGGGTTCTGGTTGAAGTGGCAGTGCCAGGGTTAGCTGCTGGGCAGCACCCTGGGTTAGAAGCAGCCCCGGGCTGTCTCGCGAGTCCCGGTGGGGAAAAGGCGGGTTCTGAAGGCGAGCCTGTATTTTCTGGAGCTGTTTGTACATCTCAGCTGGTACCTTTGGTCTAGGCCATGCCTTTGCCTAGCATCTCAGTGGTAGCCTTTCCCCAGTTGCAAGTCTAGGATCTGTGTCCCTGGGAAAGGGTGTGGGGACTCGCTGGGCGTTTGGTTACGGGAAAGGGCAGAGACTCTTCTGTCAACCGGACTCTCTTCTCCCCAGAATGGAAGACCAGTTCGCAGCTCTGCATGAAAATCCTGACATGTGAGTTGGTAGACCCGAGCTGATGCCAGTGGCTGGTGGATGGCAGGGGACTGTGGTGGTGGCCTGACTGGGGTGACCTTGCCTGTGATCCCCTTCCAGAATCATCGCCACCCCCGGGCGGTTGGTGCATGTGGCTGTGGAGATGAGCCTGAAGCTGCAGAGCGTGGAGTACGTGGTTTTCGATGAAGCCGACAGGTGAGGCTGCAGTTGCCCCCGGCGCTGTTGCGGCTGCCCCCAGCTAGGAAGGAGAGGGTGCGGGGCTGGCTGGCCAGGGGGAGGGCTCTGTCCAGAGAGACCTACATGGCCACAGTCTCCAGATATGGGCTGCAGATCACAGGACGTGCCGGAGCTCATCTGGGGCACTTTGGACCAATATTTTTTAGTTTTACATTTTAAGAATATTAAAAAGAATAATTAAGGTCTAGCACATGTTTTCAAAGAGATTAAAAATAGAAAAAGAGTTGAGAGCATGGACATAAAGATGGGACCCAGCCCCACTGTTTCTTCAGCTTTGGGAACTTGGTCAAATCATGGGTAACCCTGGGCCGAGGCTGCCTCAAGAGGGAGGAACAGCACGCGCAGGGTGCCCTGGGGAAGAAAGGTGGAGACTTGTGGGTACCCACCCCTGCGTGGGGCTCAGGACACGGGCAATAGGGTGAGAATTTCAAGGTCATTGTCACTTAGGCTGAGGTTGTGCCTTAAGGAAAGGGCAAATTGAGTTAAACATGAGAGTTGGATGTCAGCATAGGTGGGGAGGCTGTGGCCATGAAGGTGGCCATGAGGGTGGCGGGTTGGCTGGAAGCTCCAGGTGGACCCCCGCAGTGCCCTGTGCCCCCCTCCCCTCCAGGCTCTTTGAAATGGGGTTTGCGGAGCAGCTGCAGGAGATCATCGGCCGCCTCCCTGGGGGGCACCAGACGGTGCTGTTCTCTGCCACGCTGCCTAAGCTGCTGGTGGAGTTTGCCCGGGCAGGTGAGTGGCAGGGGTGGCTCTGGACTCGGGGCGAAGTTGTTTGTCCCAGCCCTTGGTGACCCCCGTCTCCCCTGTGCCCCCGCAGGCCTCACGGAGCCCGTGCTCATCCGGCTGGACGTGGACGCCAAGCTGAACGAGCAGCTCAAGGTGAGGCCACAGCGGGCCCCTTGCTCAGACCCGTGGCCTTGGGGGGGGGCGGTGGGGGACCTGGCAGGCCCGTGGCCTACAGAGAGCCCACCAGCTCCCTCTCCCCGCAGACCTCCTTCCTCCTGGTGCGTGAGGACAGCAAGGCCGCAGTGCTGCTGCACCTGCTGCGCAACGTCGTTCGGCCCCAGGACCAGACGGTAGTGTTTGTGGCCACCAAGCACCACGCCGAGTACCTCGCGGAGGTGAGTGGGCCTGGTGTGCCACGGGGTGGGAAAGGGAGCAGCGCCATCTTCCTCCTGAGCCTGGACCTGCTCTTCTCAGTGTGGCCACCAGAGGGCGCGGGGCCGGAGCTGCAGGGAGGGCAGGGCTCTCCCTTCCCTGAGCCGATCCTGAGCACACAGAAAGTCTAGTGTGGTCGCTCTGGGTCCTGGCGGCCTGGGCACAGCTGTTCACAGCCCCTGGCCTGGCTCCATCCATCTGCTTTCCCCTCTGTCAAGGCTGCTGTGAGCCATCTCCCGGCCATCCTGTCACTCTGCAGCCAGATGTCAGCCTGCACTGCGTCAGGCACAGTTCACACCCATGGGGGTGCGGGGTGCCCTGGGAGTGCAGGCAGTTCCATGGCTTGTGTCAAACATGGGTACCAGCGTGACCCTGTCTACGGAGTCCCAGTCACCCAGGAGGCCGCGGGCCCTGCCCAGCCCCTCACTGCCTCCCTCCCCCCGCCTCAGCACATCTGGCCCTGTTGTCCCAGGTTCCTGATCCCCTCGCTCAGCCTCCCCTATGCAGCTGGGGTCACCCGTGCATGAGGCCAACAGCAGTTCTTAGAGAACAGTGACGGTCACCTGCCTGCTGGGTTCCGGGCTCTTCTGCACACAGTGCCTTGGGCTCAGTCCTCAGAACAGAGCCTCCATGAGCAGCGTGGCTTTCCCCTCAGCCCAGGGCAGGGAGGCCCAGGAAGAGTCAGCCCAGGCTATTCCGGTCAGTGCTGGCTGCCTCCAGAGGGAGCTCTCTGCGCCCGCCACCAGGACAGGGGCCGGCCAGAAGTGATACTGGTGAGGGTTCCAAGTTGGGGTCACTGAGCAGAGCTAGGTTTCAAGCTGGGGGTGCCAGGCTGCGGGCTGGCCGGGCTGGCCTCTGCACATGGCGCTCTGCCCAGAAGGCGAGCCTCCTTCACCTCCCTCACCTCCCTCCTGCCCTCCTCCGAGCAGCTACTGACGGCCCAGCGGGTCAGCTGCGCCCACATCTACAGCGCCCTGGACCAGACGGCCCGCAAGATCAACCTGGCCAGGTTCACACATGGCAAGTGCTCTGCCCTCATCGTGACCGACCTGGCTGCCCGGGGCCTGGACATCCCGCTGCTGGACAACGTCATCAACTACAGCTTCCCCGCCAAGGGCAAGCTCTTCCTGCACCGCGTGGGTGAGCAGCCAGGCACCAGGCCTGCTGGGAGCCGGGGCGTGGGGACACAGGCGGACAGGTCCTGCTGGGCAGCACGGCTCTGCTTCTGCAGAAGCCACTCGCCCTATCCTGGGCTGTGTCTTTCTCTTGCTGTGGCACTTGACAGCATGGCCCTTCGGTCTCCTCGGGGTCCCCTCCCTGAGACTCCATGTCCTTGGCTACCCCAGAAGCTGTCTCTACCTTTCTGTCCTACACAGGTCCCTCCCGCTTTGTTGGGCCGAGATCCGGGCTGCCTCCCCTCGGCCCTGCCTGGCCACCTGCTCCGTTAACCTTTCCCCAGGGCTTTGCTCTACCCCGGCCCCGCCTAACCTCTTTGTCACAAAAGTCACAGCGTGTCTGTGTGCTTGGGTTGCCATTACAGAGTACCAGCTGTCCCCTGGGATGGAGGGCCCACCCTCCTTGCATGGCCTTGTTTTAAGTAGTTAGAGCAGCAGTGCCACTGTGTCCTGTGGAGGCCACATTTGGGGCACTGACCATGGGGACTTCAGCATGGCTGGGGACATGGTCCAGTCCCCACTCATGTTGGGAGGCTAGCACAGGCGCCGTGTCCCTTGTGTGCTGCTTGGCTTGTATGGGCAATGGTGCCTTCACAGGTGGGGAGATGGAGGCCAGGGGGGTGACTAGCTGGCCAGGTGGCAGCCAGGTGACAAAGTGGGCATGGAACCCTGTAGTCCTTTCAGAGACCCCCCCATTGCTGTTCCTGTTGCTCTCTGGTGACAAAGCTGTCACCGTGTCCTTTCCTCCATCCCCATAGAATATTTGTAACACACTTCACCCTTTTAGCAACTGCGAGTGCCCAGCCCAGTGGCTGTTGTGCTTGAACCACCATCTCCTCTTCAGGCCGTGTGGCCCGCGCTGGCCGAAGTGGCACAGCCTACTCCCTGGTGGCCCCAGACGAGGTTCCCTACCTGCTGGACCTGCACCTGTTCCTGGGCCGCTCCCTGGCCCTGGCGCCACCCCACCAGGAGCCTTCAGGTGAGGGGAGGCCGGGGCAACACAGAGGGTCCGTGGTCCATGGTGCATGTAGGTGGGCGCCCTGTGCTGGCCTTGGGAGGCAGCAGGCTGGATCTGACCCCAGGAGAGGACCGCACCCGACCCCCAGTGCTAGCGGTCAATGCGTCAGTAATGGCGGCCGCTCTGCTGGGACTTCATCTACACACACAGCAGTCGCCTCCGGCCCGTGCTGGTTCCTGTTCTGGCCCAGTCAAGTCTGCTGTGGCAGCTGCTCTAACAGTGACCGCTAGAGGGCCTGGGGGGCGCGCAGGGCCTGGGCAGGTGGGCCACCAGCTTGTCCCTCAGCGTACCCTGTGGGTTGGCAGGTGCTGCGGGCACCGATGGCATGCTGGGCAGGGTGCCGCAGAGTGTGGTAGACGACGAGGACTGCGGCCTGAGGAGCACCCTGGAGGCGTCCCTGGAGCTGCGGAGCCTGGGCCGTGTGGCAGACAACGCCCAGCAGCAGTACGTGCGCTCGCGTCCAGCACCATCGCCCGAGTCCATCAAGAGGGCCAAGGAGCTGGATGTGGCGGGGCTGGGCCTGCACCCCCTCTTCAGTGAGTCCTGCCCCGGAGGTGAGGGGGGCGCGGCAGGTGGCAGCCCAGCCCTGCAGCCCCGTCCTCACGCCCTCTCCCTGATAGGCACGCGCTTCGAGGAGGGGGAGCTGCAGCGGCTGAGGCTGGTGGACGGCATCAGGAGCTACCGCGCACGCTCAGTGAGTGAGGGGGGCAAGGCACGCAGGTCCTGCCAGGACCAGGATCACAGGGTGCTGCTGGCCCCTGGGGGACCCTGCGGCAGGGTCCATCTGCGCTTGGGGTTTCCTAGCCCTCAGCCCTGGCTCCTCGGCTCCCAGAGACGCCCTCAGTCCGGACCCTGCTAGACCACTGCAGGCCCTGTGGGGCAGCTGTGTCCCCCACCTCCAGAGGTGACTGAGGCTCACAGTGGGAGTGATGGGCCCTTGGCCTACTCTGACCTAGACGCTCGCCTTCCCCAGCCCACCTCCCTTCCTCCCTCTTGCTTTCCCTGGACACCCCGCCTTGTGTACCTGGAGTGGGTTGCACAAAAGCAGGGAAGGTGGCAGGTGGCCTGCCAGCCAGCAACACACAGAGCTGCAGAGTGCCCGTGGGGCGCACCGACTTGGGGTCTAGATGGACTGGGGTTGACAGCCAAGCTTTGGCTTTCCCTAGCTGTGTGACCTGGAGCAAGTTACTCACCTGCTCTGGGCCTCCTCTCTCACTGTGAAATGCAGTTAACCAGGGTGCCTATCTAGCCACCGGGAGGGATGTCCACAGAGGGCTCACCCAGCTGGCGAGAGTGGGCAGGGGGCCCATAGGCAACCGACTTGGTGTCCCCTGCACAGACCATCTTTGAGATCAATGCCTCCAGCCGGGACCTGAGTAGCCAGGTGATGCGTGCCAAGCGGCAAAAGGACCGCAAAGCCATAGCCAGCTTCCAGCAGGGACGAAAGGAGCGACAGGAGCGTCAGAAAGGTCTGGCTGGCCCCTCCCAGCGATGCCCTGCACCTCAGGAGCAGCCCGAGAAGGAAGAGGAGGCAGAGAAGGAAGAGGAGGTCGAGGGAGAGGATGTAGAGGTACGGGCGTGGTCTGGGGCCCTGGAGCTGGGGCTGGGGGAGGGGTGGTTACGTCCCAGCAGCCCACAGGGCTGTCCTTGGGGCTTTGGGCCCCCCTTGGGGAGGCGCCCATCTCTGTCCTCTAAAGCCGGGGGCCCAGGCTCAGCATCTGCAGAGCACAATCACTCGGGGGTCGGGGGTCAGACATGTCAGACCCAGCAGCGAGGCCTTGGGCCTCCACGCCCGAGGGAGGACAGACCAGAGGGAGGGCGCCACTGCCTGGTCGGAGGAGCAGGAGGGCCCAGGGCTTGTGGTGAGCGGCCACCGCGCCTGCCGTAGCCCTGAGGCGCTGTGGGTGGGTCATCGTCCGTTCCAGGCTGAGGCTCAGGCAGGTTGGAAGGGGCAGAGGAGGGATGTGGGCAGCAGCCAGGTGACAGGAGCAGCATCAGATAATGACCTCTGAAAGGCAGCTGGAGGATCATGACGGGTCCTAAAGTGTCCCACTTGCCTGGCGGAAGGTCCCCGGATGGTGACAGCACCTGTCTCTCTCTCTGGTCCCGCTGGTGGAGGGTTTGGTAGGCACAGGCATAGCTGAAGGCCCCAGTAAGTCCTTGTGTGGAACAAGCCCCGGCGCAGAGACGCTAGGGCTTCGCCTCGGTCACACAGTTTGGGGGCCAAGCTGGGACTAGAATGAGGTTTTCAGAGTTGGCACCCTGCCTCCTCATCCATCCTGCCTCTGATGGCCAAGGCAGGGGTTATGGTGTTCGTGCAGATGGGGAAATGGGTTCCACGGGAGACCTGTTCACCAGCTAATGAATGGGAAAGCCATGCTGGGCACAGTGGCCCATGACTGTAGGCCCAGCAGCTTGGGAGGCTGAGGCAGGAGGATCAATTCAAAGCCAGCCTCAGCGACTTGGTGAGGTTCCCAGCGACTTAAGGAGACCCTGTCTCAAAAAATAAAAAGGGCTGAGAACGTGGCTCGGTGGTGAAGCGCCTCTGCATTCAATCCCCAGTACCCCCAAAATGGGAAAGCCAGATTTGTAAAGCCCCTGGAAGCTCTGGACCCTGAGCTCTGGCTGGGCAGTGGATGTGGAGAGCCATAGTGGCTCCCCAGGGGCCACAGTTGTGACGCTGGGCCTCCTGCCTGCAGCATGTCTTCACAGAGGTCGTGGGCCAGAAGCGGCAGAGGCCAGCACCTCACGGAGGAGCCAAGAGACGGAGGGCGGAGGCCCAGCAGCGGGACCAGGAGTTCTACGTCCCCTACCGGCCCAAGGACTTCGACAGCGAGCGGGGGTGAGTGACCAGCTGGGTCTTGGGTGGGCACCGGGACCCTTTGGGCCACGTCATCCCCCCTTACCTTGCACACCCTCCCTTCAGGCTGAGTGTCGGTGGGATTGGGGGAGCCTTCGAGCAGCAGGTGGCTGGTGCCGTTCTGGACCTGATGGGGGACGAAGCGCAGAACCTGACCAGAGGCCAGCAGCAGCTCAAGTGGTGAGTGCAAGTAGGCGTGCCCACTGGGGGGTGGGCTGTCTGCTGTGGGCTCCTGTCTGTGCCCCATGAGGTCAGGATGGTGCCCCTTCCTTGCCTGCCTGCCGGTGATCTGGTCGCACACTGCAGGGTTCTTGCCAGCTCTCCTGACAGGCTTATGACCAGTTTTGCTCATGAGGTCTCTCAGTGCCACTCTACCTGGGTCACAAAGCCAGGAACTGGTAGGTGGGGACTGGAACCTTCCAGGAGGACCCCAACCCCCACTTCAGTGCCATTGCCAGTCCTCTGACCCCCTAACCCCCTTTGAGACCTGGGCTGCCAGGGAAAGGTGAGGTGAGGTGGGCAGAGCACCTGCTGGGCCCTGGGCGTGGCAGCACTGCTTTCCTTTGATGGCCCAGGGCCCATGCAGGGGCCCCGGTGAGGGAACAGGCCCCCCAGGGAACCTGGGCATCCCAGGCCATCTCCCTCATGGCAGCCCCACTAACTCCTCTACCAGGGACCGGAAGAAGAAGCGGTTTGTGGGACAGTCAGGACAGGAGGACAAAAAGAAGATCAAGACCGAGAGCGGCCGCTACATCAGCAGCTCCTACAAGCGGGACCTGTATCCGGAGGGGCGGGGCGGGCTGCTTTTTCAGGGGGTCTCCTGTGCCAAGGGCCTATACTTGCTGGGGGCGAGGCCAAGGGTGGGGAAGGGCCAGGGTAGGGGCTGCTTCCTGGAGGCCTCCTGTGCCAGGGACCTGTACCTGCTGGGGCGGGGCCACATGGTTTTGCGCCCCGGCTCCTATAAGCGGGGCTTGTGTCCGCTGTAGTGGGCAGTAGGGTACCACGTGAAATTTCCTTAACATGCCTTCCCAGCTACCAGAAGTGGAAACAGAAACAGAAAATTGATGATCGTGACTCAGAGGAAGAAGGGACATTTGATGGGCGAGGTCCAGCCCGAAGAGGTGGGAAGCGAGGGCGTGGCCAAGGTGAGTAGCAGGGCGGGGAAGGTGAGCACGCTGGTGGACAGAGCAGGTGTGGTCACGTTAGGGAAAAGCAGCACAGAGAGGAGCCCCAGGTGGGCACTGCCAAGGCCTCGGAGCTCCCACTCCCCTCTCACCAACAAGACCCTGCCCCCAGGCCGGCTGATTGTGGGGCTCAAAACCACTGCCCCTGTGAAGTCCTTCAGTGGACTTGACCTGGGCTCTCCCAGTCACTAGCACCTGCTGACAGTCACTGAAAGAGCTGTGCCGCTCCGTGCCTGTCCCTGATCTGCCCACCTCAGGGGGAGGCGCTGGGATGGACATGGCACAACCATCTCACCTGCACCAACCTCAGCTGCTGCAGGTTGGACCTGGGGGATCGAGTGTGGGGAGATTGTCTTGGATGCTGGCAGGACTGGGGTTCTCTGGCAACACTGTAGAGTTCTTTTTACAAGAGCTGACGGTCAGGAGGCTGCTTTGATCCAGGGAGGAGGCGGTGTGGGGAGGTTGGGAGATGTCCCTGGAAGTGAGGGCTGGCGAGTATACCCCTGGGCCACCTGGGGCTTGGTTGATTTGGTCCACCTTAGATGAGATCAGAAGCCACTCCATCTGCCAGAGTCTTTAGTGACCACACACTCTGGCATGATCCGGCATGGAGCAGTCCCTAGGGCAGACCCCTGTGTGCAAGGCCCTGGGGCAGCCCGAGGAGCAGAGAGGCCACTGCCTGCCCTCTGACCCCACTCAGTCCTCCTCGTGCTCTGAAGGGATTCATCTGCAGCTGGGCCCCTTCTAACCCTGCCCCCAAACACTGCGGGTTAGCCTACTGTTAGGGAGGTACAGGTTATGTCCACGACATGTCACACATGACCTGTGGGGCTAGGAGACAGTGTCTACTTTATAAGCAGGGAAACGGGGCTGAGGACAGGGACTGAACGCAGGCTGCCCAGCTGCCTGCCACCCTCCTCCTGGATCCACCCCTGGGGAGAGGGGAACTTGGCACCATGTCCCAGGCTCCTTTGGGTGGCCTTAGCCTCTACTTATCTCTGCAGCCCTGTGGGGCTGGCCGCTGCCTGCCCTCTGTGCCTGGGGCTGCCAGGGCCTGCCTGTCTCCTGCCCGGGCCGCATCCCCGCTCCTCTGGTGTCCTCCTGCCAGTGCTGCCTCCTCTGTCTCCTCCTCCCTCTCTCCGGCTGCCTTTGACTCTCCTCTTTCCCTCTCCCTTCTCTCCTGGTTAAGTACCCACTGCATACCAGCCATTGAGGGCCACAGCATTGAGCAGGGCAGGGACGGGGCAGGGAGGAGCTGCTCAGCCCCCGATTATGTCCTGGCAGGTGCATCCCAGCCCCGCACCCCAGGTGCCCCCACAGGCCACGTGCGCTCCGAGCTCAAGACCAAGCAGCAGATCCTGAAGCAGAGACGCCGGGCCCAGAAGATGCGCTTCTTGCAGCGCGGGGGCCTCAAGCAGCTCTCCGTTCGCAACCGCCGCCGGGTCCGGGAGCTACAGCAGGGCGCCTTTGGCCGGGGTGCCCCCTCCAGGAAGGGCAAGATGAGGAAGAGGATGTAAGGACCAGGACTCAGCCCGAAGCCTGGCCCCAGTGTGGACACGAGCAGTCATTTCCCACGAGCTACTGGGGGGCTGCCTGCAGGAGCTTGTGCCCTGTGGGAAGGAAGTGCCTCCGGCCACAGGAGCAGCCCCTGCCTCTACCAAGGGACACTGGAGTTAGGCCTTGGAGCCTGTGTAGGAGTTCGCCAGCAAAGCCAGACAGGCAGGACCCAAGGTGGCAACTGAGTCACTGCTGCTGCTGCTGTGAGTTCTGGGTTCAGAGGTCATGGTCACATGGTCCCAGCCCGGAGTGCCTCAGGCTCAGTGATGGTTTTCAACATGATAAACCTTTATTGAGTACCTCTGCTCGACCTGAGAGTGGAGTCTTCTTGGGGAGACGAGGGGAAGACACAGGTCGCGAAGCTAATGTGGCAGTTGAGAGTGTTTGTGTACGCCCCATGTGATGCCACCTGGGTCCCCTGAGGGTGCTCTATTGGCTCAGAGGGGAGTCAGCTGCCTGTGTGGGCTCAGGACAGGCGAGCTAGGGCCACAAGGCCAGCTGCTGCCCTCTGGCTGTGAGAGGTCAGAGCCATCCTGCTTCTGTCCTGCTCAGAGCTCCTGTCACCCTGTTGAGGTTCTGAGAGTCAGGAGCCTCCAGTGGCTGCCCTTCAGGATGGCCTGTCCCCGGCAGAGTACAGAGCTGCAGGCCTCTGGATGTGCGGCTTCTGGGTAGGGGGTGCCCCGCACATTGCCTGCAGCCCCTTGCTGGTCCACCTTGATCACACCAGACACGAATCTAGACACTGCGGCCTGGGCAGGCACAGCTCCGTCTTCCTCCTGGGAAAACAGGTCAGGGCGGCCTGGAGCCTGCACCCCTAGTGAGCCTAGTGAGCGTGGGACCTCCTCCCAGGGCTGGGTCCCTCAGCTCCCGATCACCGTGCACCTGGGTCAGGGCTGGGAGGTGGTGGCCACAGGCTCAGGCTGGCGATGTCTGGTCAGCATGGCAGAGAGGTCCAGGATGAAGAGCTTCACCTGGGGAACAAGTGCAGCCTTGGCACATCGCAGCCTCTAGTGGATGGCCAGCCTCCCCACCACATACAACACCTGGGAGGCTGCGAGGTAGGGGTGGGGGCCGGAGGCCCCAATATTGGGCAGCAGCAAAGCCACCTGGTTCCCAGGGCTGTTCAGGGCAACTCCTCCCCAGACAGTCCACGTTCCCAGCTGTTGGTGTTCACTCCTCATGTCACCCTTTTTTAAAACCCATTATGTCCCAGTGTCCTATGTATAGGACTGAAACCGAGCAACAAAGTTACCATAGAGGTGTTATTTATCACTCAGTTTACGTTTTCATGTGTGTCCCTGTCCCGGATGTGGGGTTCTTTGGGTGGGGCATACTCATTGGTTTGTGATCTGTTCATCTCCATAGGTGAGTGGCCCTCCTTTCTTGTAATTAATATGAACATGATACTAAGAATCCATAGATCCACTGTCATGGGCGTTGGTGGCCAGCTCACCACTCACCATCCCTGGGCTGCCCTCAGGTTTCTCACCTAAGTGAGCATCTGAGAAGGGAACCTTCCAGCAAAGATTGAAAAAGCATAATGAAGTTGCCAGGTGTGGTGGCGCACACCTGTAACCTAGCAACTCTAGAGGCTGAGGCAGGAGGATGGGTAGTTTGAGACCTGGACAACTTATTGAGGCCCTATCTCGAATTTTGAAAAGGCCTAGGAATGTAGCTCGGTGTTGGCAGAGCACTCATCTAGTCTGTGCAAGGCCCTGTGTTCAGTGCCCAGTACTGCAAAAAGAAGAGGCCTTGTAGGCCATGTTGTGTGTCCTACAGCCTCTTCAACCTTGAGAAGCCAGGTGTGCTCCGTCCACAGGGACGTTTGGTGGCGCCACTGGGCTGAAAGGATGTATGGTGCCTAATCTGTGCTCAGGCTCCCTAAAGAGGCCGAGACCCCTCGTGCCAGGAGCAGATGGTCAGAGTGTACACTGTCTCAGAGGTGTCACTGAGACTGGGCACAAACCTGGGGTGTCCAGCAGGCACCTGACACTCGGCACAAGGTGCCCTAAGACCCAGGGGCATGGGGCTGTCTTCTGCACAAGGTCACCGTCAGAGCCGAGATGAAAGGCAGGGTGCTTGGGCGCTGATGCAGCCCACATCCGGGGCTAGCGCCAAGTTTAGCCAGAGAAGGTGTTGCCCTGGGAGGGTTTTGAGGCGCCGCGTGTTTCTGAAGGACATGACATCACGGGGAAAGCCTCACCTGCTCCAGCTGCCCCTCAGTGTCTTCAATGTCCAGGGCTGGTGGCTGCCTCAGGTGCTGGCACACTGTCTGGAACAGGTTGAGCGCTGACATCCTCGCGCGGCCCAGGAGCAGAGTCTTCTCCGCTGCAGTGTTCTGGATCTGAATCCACTTAGATTCCTGGAGACCATACACCCGCCCGGCTCCCGGTTAAGGCGGGAACGGGTCCTCCAAGGGCTGAGGCTTCCCCCATCCACCTGCACCAGACAGGTGCACCCTCGGGAGGGAGCTCAGCATGTCACGTGCCCCCTCGGGCCAGCCCCTGGGGCCCCGTAGCGCACTCTCATGTCTGACACCCCCCTGTTAGCCAGCCCGCCCCTCCGGAGTGAGAGGTGGCGCCCGGCACGCGCCTCCCGGCAGGCCGCACCCACTCCAGCGCGCGCTCCCGCGCGGACTCCAATCGCTCCCGCAGCTCTGCTCGCCGCTGCGCCTGCGCGAGGAGCTCGTCCTGCTCGCTGTCCCGCAGCCGCTGCAGCTGCGCCCGCGTCGCCTCGAGCTCCGCCAGCCGCTCTCGCTCCGTGAGCCTCAGGGCCACCTGCGTGTCTGCCAGGGTGTCGAAACGAGCCACCAGCTCTGGGACCTCCTGGAACTGGGACCGGAGAGGGATTCCCTTGGCCCTGCCCTCCGTGCCTGGGCCGCCAACACTCCAGCGGCGCCTCGATTTGCTCAACTGTGAAAGGGGGGCGTCGCATCTCGCTGACCCCAGGGTGTCAGACGTGAGCCCCACTCCACCTTCCGACCGCCACCATCAACCCTCACTGCCTGGTTAACATTCGTTCCTGGGTTCATTCAATTAGTGATACCTGTTGATTATTCGGATTCTCCCCACCTGCCACACACACATGCCTAATTGTGTGACATCGGCTGTGTTGACTTTCTGTAAAATGGGGTTGACACTAACAGAACCCACTTTACTGACTGCGGGGATGATTCAGGAACAAAGCGTGCTGCCGGTATACAGTGAGCACTCAGTAAGTGATGGTTCCTGCATACAGTCAGTGCTCCATTAGTGCTCCGTCCATGCCAGGGGATTCTGTCGCTGCAAGGTGGAGCTGGGCCCTGGCTGCGCTCCCCAGCTCACCTCGGGCAGCTTTTCCAGCGTTCGCTCCAGCAGGCGCGCGCACGGCTCCAGCCTCTGTAGCCGGCGCTGCAGCCGCGCGCGCTCCCGCCGCAGCTCCTGGAGCTGAGCCCGCAGCCGCAGCGCCTCCGCCCCCTGGCGGTCCGCGCGGTGTCGCTCCTCCGCCGCCCGTTGCAGCGCGCGGCCGCGCCGGATCTCGGCGTCCTGGGGAGCGGGACCCAAGCGACTCGGGAACTTGCGGAGCTGAAGCTCGCCGACGTCTCCTCCTCGCCCCGATACGCACGCTGAGTCACCAAGGGTGACAAACACCCGCCCGCGGGCCAAGTTCTGCCCAATCTCAGATTTGGGTCCCTCGCCCCTTCTCCTCCTCTCAGGCTGTCCCTTTTGCGTTACCAAACCCATCCTTTTACTTGTGTGGACCCCTGGCCCCTGTTGGATTGTACGGTGTGGGTCCCTGTGACCTCCCCCAGCCGTCGCCACCTACCTGCAGGAACTTGTCAAAGCGGACAAAGGACCCCTTGAGCTGCTGCTCTTTCTGTACCAGCTCTGCCCAGCGCTGTTCCAGGGCTGTCATCGTGGTGTGGAACTCCTGGGGGTGAGGAGCGGGGTGGCTCTGAGTTTGGGGATTCAAGTCATCCGATGCTTTCAGTTCACCTTAACCCCTCCGATCCACTGTCCGCTCCCCGGCTCCAGGAAGAAGCCCAAACACCCTCCTGTAGCCTGAAAGCCTGTGTCCCTGCCCTGCCTGGTCTCAGCCTCTCCTCCTGAAACTGTCATCCGGCCACTTGGTCATCTGTGCTTTGTCCTTGCCTCCCTGTCTTTGCATAGGATGGTCCCTTTTGCCTGTTTCTTTCCCCACCTTCCGAACCCATCTCCCCTTGCTGAATAAGCCCACTTGCCCCTCTGCGAGTCCCAAGACCTTCCTCCAGGAAGTCCTCCTTGACCACTAACACAGGGAAACAGGGGCTTCCTCTGGGCTCCCACGGCCTCGGCCCAGTGCTCCCCCTCCTAACGATCCCCATCTGGTCACTTGTCTCTTTTCCTCTCTAGACTGTAAGCCTCCTGAGGGCAGGGACTGTGATGGCACTCCAGATCCCAGCCCAATGCCCAGCACACAGTAGGTGCTCAGCGCACCCAAAACTGCTCTCACTTGATTCTCCTCTTGAAGAAGAGGAAGGCAAGGCTCAGGATGGTCCAGAGGAAGCTCACCTCCCTCTGGGCTTGCAGACCCTGGTCTGCAGCTGCCAGCTCTTTCCTCTTCTCCAGGAGGCGCAGCACAGGTGGGAAGTGGCCCACACTCTTCTCTGGTGTCTTCCTAGAGGGGCTCAAGAAGGAGGTGGAGGTCAAGGAGGCAAAAATCAGGGCTCCCCAATTCCACCCTCGAGCCCAGATGTCCCTGCCAGCCACCACTGGCTACTGAATTCTTCACTCATTGGGTGGGTTGACCTGAGCACCGCTGTGTGTCAGGACTGCTCTTGGTGCTGGAGCCACTGCAAAGAAGACAGAAAAGAAAGTCCCTGTCCCCCCCCCAGGAGCTGGAATTCTCCTGGGGCCACAGAAGATGAAGCTAATCAATTATAGTACTGGTAGGCCATGGCAGACCCCAAGATGACGATGTAAGCAGACCAGGGGAACTTCGACAGGGAGTCAGGAGACCAGGACAGCCATGCCAAGACCCCCAGGGAAGGGACGGTGGGGGGCGGTGAGGCCAGAAAGAAGAGCCAGGAAGCGGGAGGCGGGGATTGAGAGCAGAGAGGTGCCCAGGGCAGGTTGCAGCGGGTCACGGTGAGGGAGGACTTTGGCTGGACCCTGAGTGGGATGGGAGCCAGGAGGGGCTTTGAGCAGAGAAGAATTTCCTGTGGCTGTTGTGAAAAGAAAAAAGAAAAAGAAGAAACTTGGTGCAGAGCTGCAGGAGCCCAGTGACCAGCTCCGGAGATTCTGCAGAGAACACCATGGGTCAGGGAGGGCTGGGGAGGGCAGAAGGGGTCCCTCCAGGGCACTAGCTGAGAGCAGGGCTGATGGAGGGCCAAGGGGGTGACCTCGGTGGGCGAGGGATGGTGTTTGAGGGAAGGCTGTGGGGCCAGCAGGTGGGGTGGGGGACCAGCTCCCTCCTGGGCCGAGCTCTGGGGTGACCCTGTTAGACCCAGTCAGGGAGCTGGCCAGAAGTAGCAGGGTCCAGGTGACCTGCTCTCCCAGAGGGGCTAGACTAAGGTTTCATTTGGCAAGGGTTACCCAATGTGATCGGGGACACCCCACCGACCCATTTTGCAGATGCTAGGACTGAGGTTAGGACACTCGGTGGCACTGGCCAACTCAAAGCAGGCACTCCTCCCCAAAACGCAGTTTCCCGGTGGGGGAGCAGCCCAGGGGGCACCTCCCTTCCTCTCCACCTTGGGGCAAAGGATTTACTGCCTGAGCCCTCTTGGAAGTCGCGGTTCCTCTGAGAACCTCAGCTTCTTCTTTCTCAGTGTGAACTGTCCAGAGGAATGGGGACCCAGGGGCTGGGGGAGCAGGCGTGGGCCACCCGCCCACCGCTGCCTTCCTCCCTGTCTGCATCACACTCACTGGGACAGCTTCTCCTGCAAGATCAGCCGGAAATAGTCCTCCCAGGGCACTGCCATCGTCCCCGCGCTCGCCTCTCTGTCTTTAAACCTGCTGGAGTCTTGCAGGAGCCTACGAGGCCCTAGGAACGCGGCCGCGCGGCGCAGGACTCCCAGGAGGCAGTGGCCAAGCGGGCCCTGGTTGCCTGGGCAACCAACGACACAACATTCCATTGCCAGGCTGTGGCCTGGGGAACCCACCCAGGGAGAGGGAGGAAGGGAGTGGCGGAGGCGGGAGGCGCTCCCCCCACCCAGCTCCTCCACCTCGGGTGCAGTGGGGAGGGGGGTCCTCCACCAAGTTGTTGCCAAGGGAGGCCGGCGGCGCGGGGGCGCACGCCTGTCATCCCAGCGTCTTGGGAGGCTGAGGCAGGAGGATCGAGAGTTCAAAGCCAGCTTCAGTATTTTATTGAGGCCCTGAGCAATTTAGTGAGACCCTGTCTGTAGATAATAATTAAAAAGAGCTTGGGATCGGTCGTAAATTTCCCCCTCGGTCAATTCCCAGTACTGAAAATGAATCAATAAATGAATAAAATATAAAAGGGGCTGGGGACCCGGCTCAGTGGTAGAGCGCCCCTGGGTTCAATGCCCAGTATTGAAATAAAGAGAATTTGGCCAAACCTCTTCCCGGCTGGGTGGGCCTGGGCCTCACTAATGTGCCTGTGTGTCCACTCAACCATCAGAAAGAATGTTAGGGCTTAAAAAATAAATAAATAAAAATAAAAATGGCTGGGATGTAGCTCAGAGATAAAGCTCCCTGGGTTCAAACCCTAATATAGCAAAACAGACATCATCATCATCATCATCATCATCATCATCATCATCATGATAATGTACATTTTATTTTTGAGCATTTTGCATTGAATTGCACATATTTTCTTTCTGCATGATCTGATGTCAAGCTATAATAAGATACATGATCTCACTTTTTCTCTCATTTTTTTGTACTGGGATTGAACCAGGGGCACTTCACCACTTAGCCATATCCCAACCCATTCCACAGTCTTGCTAAGTTGCTGAGGGTCTCACAAAGGTACTGAGACAGGCCTCAAGTTTGCGATCCTCCTGCCTCAACCTCCCTAGTCTCTGGGATTACAGGTGTGCACCACTGTACTTGGCTCATTTTTTTTTCTTAAATAAAAATTGGAGGGGCTGGGGATGCGCACTCGCCTGGCATGCATGCAGCCCGGGTTCGATCCTCAGCACCACATACAAACAAAGATGTTGTGTCTTCTGAGAACTAAAAAAATAAATAATAAAAAATAAATAAAAAATCTTTTTAAAAAAACCAAATATATATTTTTAAAAAATTGGAGGTATGATGTACATGTAATAAAATTCACTTTTTCCACATATGGTTCTTAGGGTTGAGGCAAATGCAAAAAATTGTGTAACCACCATCCCAATCAAGATAGGAAACATGCCCATCATCCCTAGAAATCCTGTGCCTGTTTGTAACCTACCCAGCTTTTGGCAACCACAAGGCTTGCTCCCTGTCCTTGACAGTTTCTTCTTTCTCGGAATATCATAGGTGTGTATGATATAGGGGGTAGCCCCTTGTATCTGTCTTCCTTCAATTAGCAATATTCATTTGGTGTTTGTCAAGCAGAGACACAAATCGGAAGTCCATGATTTTTCATTGCTGAGTAGTATTTATTCTACAGTTCCTTGATTCTTTCCTCAGATGGAGGAGAGCTGTGTTGTTGATGGTTCTAGGCAAAAGCAAATACACCCTGCATTGATGTACAGGTTTTGTGTGAACATAAATTGTCATTTCCCTTGTGTGAGTACGTAAGAGTAGAATTATTGTTGACTAGTCTGTTGAGTGTATTTTAACTGTATCAAAAACTGCATGTATGGGCTGGGGATGTGGCTCAAGCTGTAGCGCGCTCGCCTGGCATGCGTGCGGCCCGGGTTCGATCCTCAGCACCACATACCAACAAAGATGTTGTGTCCGCGGAGAAAAAAAAAAAAAAAAAATATTAAAAATTCTAAAAAAAAAAAAACAAAAACAAACAAAAAAAAACTGCATGTAATCCCAGCGGCTCAGGAGGCTGAGGCAGGAGGGTTGCCAGCCTCGGCAACTTAGTGAGGCCCTCAGCAACTTAATGAGAACCTATCTCATAATAAAAAATAGAAAGGACTGCGGATGCGGCTCAGTGGCTAGATGCCCCTGGGTTCAATTCCTGGTACAAATAATAATAATAATAATAAACCAAAAAGCTACAAATGGTTTATCAAAGTGGGTCTCCCATTTTTTTTCCTGTTTTCTCTTTTGCAGTGCTGGGGATTGAGCCAGGGCCTTGGCTTGGATGGTGTGTACCTATAGTCCCAGCTTCTTGGGACGCTGGCACAGGAGGCTCCCCTCAGGGTGGGTGTGGTTTGAGGCCAGCCTTGGCAACATTGCCAGAGGAAGGAAGGAAGGAAGGAAGGAAGGAAGGAAGGAAGGGAGGGAGGGGGGATAGACCCAGCCAGGGCTTAGCTCTTGGTAGACACTGGCTCCGCCCCTGAGCTAGGCCCAGGCCCTAGTGGGCGGAGCTTAATCGGCCTTATGTTCAATTCTAGGGTTTGGCAACACATTATTCCACAAAAAAAAAAAAAAAAAATAGAATAAATATATTGATGATTGAAGCAGAGGAGGGCGTTACAGAAATGAAGGGGCTTGAAGAAAGGGCAAAGAGAAATAAAAAGCACCCTGGCCATTCAAAACTCCTTTCCTTCCAAGGCAGGGAGACAGGCTAGGAAAAGACCCCCTGAGCCAACAGTGAGGTGATTTCAGGTGACTTCTTTTGTGTAGGGATTAAAGCAGCAAAACTTCATTACAGTGTCCGTGGACACTGGCCTGTTGGGAAATTTAACTTGATATCTCTCTAATCCTAATTTCTGGGAAAGTCAGATAAACTGCTTAATTTCATGACTCCATTTTGATTTTTAGTTTGGTCTGTGCAGGAGCTGAGTTCCATGATGTGGCCTTCAGTCGTTTGTATTTAACAGTTTTTATGTCCCTCTGCACCCCTGGAAACCATGCATTTGTAGAGTTTTGTCTCCTCAAGAATATTATAGTCTGGTTGATGGCGCACACCTGTCATCCCCGCTGCTCGGGAGGCTGAGGCAGGAGGATCACAAGTTCAAAGCCAGCCTCAGCAAAAGTGAGGCCCTGAGCAACTCAGGGAGACCCTGTCTCTAAATAAAATACAAAATAGGGCTGGGGATGGGACCCAGGCTCACCCTCGCAGGGCCAGCGTTCTACCCGGAGCTCAGCCCAAAACTCAGCCCAGCCTGCCCACATCTCACTCTGTTCCAGTTGGATTATTTTTCTGTGCTGAGTTTTGAGATTCTCTCTGTGAGAATTCTTTATATGTTCTAGACGCCTATCTAGTTATTCTGAGTAGTTCTTGGTGGAACATTTTCTCCCCCTCTGTATTGTCTTTCCATTCTTTTCTGTAATATACCACATTTTAAACTTCTTTTTTGTTCTTGTTCTTTTTAGTTATACATAACAGTAGCAAACTTTGAAAATTTATTTTTATTTTTTTGTGACTGGGGATTGAACCAAGGCATAGTCTACCACTGAGCTATATCCCCAACCCTTTAAAAAAATTATTTTTTGTTTCTATTTTTATTATTTATTTATCATTTGTACTGAAGTTGAACCCAGGGGTGCTTTACCATTGAGCAAGATCCCCAGCCTTTTTTTTTAAGAGAGAGAGAGAATTTTTTAATATTTAGAGAGAGAGAGAATTTTTTTAATATTTATTTTTTAGTTTTCAGCAGACACAACATCTTTGTTTGTATGTGGTGCTGAGGATCGAACCCGGGCTGCACGCATGCCAGGCGAGCGCGCTACCGCTTGAGCCACATCCCCAGCCCTCAGCCCTTTTTCACTTTAAGACAGGACCTCACTAAATTGCTAAATTTCTAAGGCTGGCCTTGAACTGGAGATCCTCCTGCCTCAGCCTCCCAAGGGGCTGGGTTTACAAGTGTGCACCACTACACCTAGGGGCAATGTCTCTCTATCTCTCCTTTTTTTGGGGGGAGCGGGGCACCTGGGATTGAACCCAGGGGCACTTACCACTGAGCCACATTACCAGACCTTTCTGTTTTATTTTTTAACTTTGAGATAGAGTCTCACTAAATTGCTTACATCTAGCCAAATTGATAAAGCTGGCCTCCAACTTGCAGTCCTCCAGCCTCAGCCTCCTAAATTGCTGGGATTATAGGCATGCACCACTACACCTGGAAAAAAATTATTTTTAATAAACACATCATTTCACACTTTTTGTGTGATATTTTGATGTATGTAAACAAACTCCAAATATCAGATCAGGATAATTTTCATATCTATCTCCTCAAACATGAATTTTCTCTTTGTTTTTCTTCATTTTTCTTTTTTGCCACGTGGGTTATTGAGCGCGGGGCCTCACGCACACTGGGCAGGCGCTCTATGACCAGGTGCACCCCAGCCCATATTTATTATTTCTTCACAGTGAGAACCAGCAAAGCCCTGTCTTGTGGCTATTTTGAGTTATACAAAGCATGTTCTTCCCACCGAGCTCTAACTTTGCAGACTCGCCGGCCTCACTCCGACTCCTCCCCACCCCAGGTCTCCTCCCAGCCTCTGGTGGCCACCATTCCATTCTCTGTTTCTGAGAGCTCCACACTGTCAGCCTCCCTCTGTGGGTGAGGACACGGTATCATCTGCCTCTCTGAGCTTGGGTTATTTCACCTAACACAGTGTCCTCCGGGCTTGTCCCCGTTGGCCATGACAGGATTTCACTTTTTAGGGCTAGATAATATTCCACTGTATCTTTGACCCTTCCAGGGCCGTCGAAGTTGGTTCTCTCTCGGCTCTGGCTGTGGTACACGGATCTTAGTGCACTGACTCCTCCCCAGGCGAGACCCACTCAGGGGCAGATGCTGGGGGGCTGGGATTCTATTTTCAGCGTCTTGAGGACCCTCCTGGCTGTTTTTGGTTGGGCTAATTTACATCCCCTCCACCGGCTAGGAGCCTCCCCTTTCTTGGAGTCTTTGCCAACTGTGTGTTATTCTTTTTTTTTTCTTTTTGGTGGTGGCTATTCAAACTGGGGCGAGGCGATGTCTGGCTGTGGTTTTCCTTTGCATTTCCCTCTAACAGGGT